CTCAATACTTGTGACTGCTGCTTGTTCTAGAACAGATGTATTGGTCACATAATCTGACCAGTGGATGTTTAGGATTGTATGGAGGCAGCATTGATGGAAGCGTTCTAGGAGTCACAGGTGGTGGCGGTAGATGACCCAGGATTCAGATCCATATAAGAGAGTAGACAGCACTATGGCTCTGTAAACACTGATCTTTGTACTTTTCTTCGAGTGTTTATTTCGCCAAACTCTTTTATGGAGTTTTCTGAAAGCACTATATGCCTTTGCTAACCTGTTGTCTAACTCTGTCAATCTTACCATCTGAGGAGATGAGGCTGCCTAGGTAATTAAACTGCTGGACTGATTTGAGTGGAGAAGCATCAGCTTTCTTGTATTATAACCAGCTTTCTGTGAGTGCTTATAGATGTTTTTCATTCCTGTTTTTGTTCCTGTTTTCATTCATATTTTGGTGGAAAAGGTAAAGGGTTTTGACTCAACTTGGAGCAAGAACAAGAAAATAATGATATCTGAGAAACAAGGCAAAACTGATGCTTCATTAGTTATGATAAGGTTTGGCAATTTTTACAAGTATATGTCAACAAACAGGATGTTTGAGGGGGGTTGTGTTTAAAATGGTACTGCTAAAGTAGTCCAGTAGATTTAGAAAAAAATATCAAAACCTCAGCTTTATAATAAGTGCTTCTTAAAGTGTATGTGCGGTGTGTCTTGATCTCCAAACTCTTGAAAGAGCTCTTTTCACAGTGTTTTTGTAGTTCATGTTCTATTTTTTTCTTAAAATGCCTTTTTTTTTTTTTCAATAACTACAGTTCTTGAAAAGTAGAGCTAAAGGTAGAAGAGGAATGCTGCTCAGTGCACCTTGCTCACTAGCCATGTCACATAAAGCAGGAAACATTCGTGATAACTTTGTTTCTGTGGTAGAATGGGGGGCCAAAAGTTACTCTAGACAGGGAGACAAGTAATGCTGACATCTTGCAGCTCAGAAAAGCTGAATTCCATGGAGGAAATGTACCATGGGGTGGCAAAGTGAGGGGAGGTCAGTTGGGGGGGAACTTCTAAATCTCTGTCTGCAGAATTGTCATCTCCACAGGTTCTTGACTGTTGCATATGAAGCATCTTGCATCTTAAAACTGTTATTTTAGGCTCTGCATATGATCAGGTAGGCTTCAGTGCTTCTGCTTATATGATCAGTTAGGCTTCAGTGCTTCTGCTTATATTTGGGTAATCTTTTTTCAAAGCCGAATTCATCAGCAGTAAGAACTAAACTGCCTTCTTACTTTTTTTCAAGAACAACTTAAAAATAATCCCCACAAAACAACAGACAAAAATCCACAGGAAAACACAAACAAAACAACCAAACAAAACCTCCGTATCAGTTTTAATTCATCCAGAGTGTGTTATTGAGGCCACAGGCATTCATTGCAGTTTAACGTTTGAATACTTATTTTTCTTCTGATAGGAGAAAATTTGTTAAAAATGAGAAAATAGAGAAGTACAAAGACAAGATAACTTCCAAAGAGTTTGTGTGGGTCATTGACAGAAGAAAGAGTAAAATGCAACATTCCTGAATCGTCTTTGGTACTTCACCCTCTAAACTGGTTACTTGTGAGGTACTTTATAGTACATATTGTTCTTGGGGTGCCTCTTGGTACCTTGCTACAGCCAGGAAGCAAAACTTTGACACTGTGTTGCTGCTTTTCAGTGGATTGGAGGCTGTGTGGGCCTGTATGATTAACTTGTGCCGTCCAGTTAGGAATTATCTGTATCAGTAAAATTCCCTCTCTGGCTACTTTTCTGAATGAGTTAAATGCCTTCTGTGCTGTGAAGTAGCAGAATTCTGGAGGGCTTGACTGCAGCAGTTAGCTTTTGATATTAAAATATAGCTGATATGAAGAGGAAGCTTAGTCTAAAATCTGAACTGGTGGGTAAAATTTACCTATATTAAAATTAGTTTTGCAGAAGAAATAAACTTTTCTTCTATATTTCTTTTTATTGTGGACTTAAATTTCTTTATTGGTTTGTTAAAGATGCTGCCTGTGTTTTCAAGTTGGAGATTTCTAGCTGTTCGAATCAAATGTTATGTTAAAACTTCCTCTTGATGGTGAAAATCCTTGAGGCAGTAGGTGACCTTTTTCTTTTTTTTTTTTTTTTTGTTTATGTGAAGAATTGATCCCTTAAACACTTTTTTTCTAAGCAATAACTTTGTTTTTACAAAAGCATGTCATAACTTACATTTATTTTTTTTAAATACTAAAGTAAATGTGTTTAGAAGTTTTCTTTTAAACTTTCTATTGACTTTTGCAGAGATCACAAATGGAAAATTTCTTGTGTAGATACTTAATGCAGTTAATGATATAATGGATTTGTGTTTTATGTAGCTGCTCCAGATGCTGAAACTGGGAATTTTTGTTCATGTTTTACTGTTACATCTGGCATGAACAGTGCCTGTTGACTGCCCTGGCTGTACAACTGGTTTTGAACAAAAATAGTGGATTTAATTTTGAAATTGCTTGGCTACACACAGCAGGTTTTGTAATAGCTTAGTGTGTCTAACACGCACTTACATTATTCATTGCTGAATAACTAGTGCTGATAACTTACATTATAATTGCATGTTTTTTATTCTTACGTGCACCTAACTTTCCATTACACATTGCTCTCTCTGTATGACTTTGAGGTGCTACTTTTGTAGGCTGAGCTGTTGATGTCTTGAACCTGAAGAGGTAAAAAATTCTGGTCTTGTTCTCTTGTATATATGCTAAATTATAACTGCTCAGGGTGAAACTTATCATTCCATGGATTTACATCAGACTTTTTTTTTCCCCACGGAAATCTTACCTTTAAGGAATTGACATCCCTGGAAGTTTGCTTGTGGGGCTGGTCTACGAGTCCAAGCACTTCTACCCTTTGTCATGGTAACAGTAGGAGCCAGGTGATGACTTCTCTTCTCCCTTGGGTCTTGCCAGCTTGCTTTTAGTGGTAATCTGAAGAAGGACATCATGTGATACCAGCTGGTAAATTATCTGTAATGCATCCAAAGCACTGATGTCTGGAAATTCAGAAAAACTAGCAATGCAAAGTTGTCAACTTAAGGGCGGGTACTCAGGCCCATTTCTTCCCTCTGTCTCTTTACCCCAGCTTCACTGCATATCTGTGAATATTCAATTTTCTTCTCTGTCTCCTTTTCCCTTTTAGGATGTCTAGGGTGAGAGTTCTCTGGCTCAGAAATGTGCTTTGTGATATACATAGAGTAATTTCTGTAATAAATATTCATAGAAATGTTGATACTGAATTAATAATTAATTTTTTTAATTTTGCTTTCTTGCCCTCTTTTCTAAAACATTATCAGTTTGTTTCCCTTTCAGTGGTTCATTTAACTTGACTTTTTTGTATGAAACTTTTCCACTAAGTCCATAGAATCATCTTGAGTTATAAACATCATTCTGTTTCATTTGCATCATTGCTTATAAAGGAGAGAAAACAGGTCAAGTTATGCCCTGAAAGAATATCTCCTCATTTATTTAGGATTTTTCAAATACTGTTAAAAGCATAATAGAAATGTAGGAGTAAGAGAATGGATGGCAAACTGTACATGACAGTTTAGTTTAGGGAACTGCTCGTATTAAGACGAGCAGCCCTGCTTTTGAGTCTCTTTCCCTACTAGCACTTAATGCTTTTGTAGCTTGTTATTACAGAAGGTTTTGGATTGGCTCAGAAAAAGGAAAATTATCCTTGGATTTGGAAATGGGGAATCTGCAATTATTACAAAGATGAGAGTTCTGTAGTCATTGGTGTTACTTAATTTCTACTTTAAATATAACCCTGTTGGTATACTCTCACCTTTACCTGTTACAGCCTGAAACGTGGTTGAAAAATGATAAAGAAATGGACTAGCTGAATTATAGTACAAGTGTGCTACAATTGCTGCAAACACCAATATTAGGCCTGCTGTCATGACCATAAAACCAGTATTGTCATTGTACTCTGTGGTGTTAAGATTAAATGTATATTTCAGTTAAGTCACATCTAAGAGCCTAAAACACTGTTGTGTGGAGGACCGGTCAAGCATGCAGTGTGTGCAAGTTTCATGTATTGAAGTGCTTATGACCTGAAGCAGTGGTCCCTCAGCTGTTGCTTGTGATGACTTGGGATGCTTGGGAAAATTGTTAGGCAGTTTTCTATGCAAGAAAAAAAATCTTAAGAGTGAGAAATGTTATTTTCTAAATAAAGGGATTTATCCAGGTTTTTGTAGCTTAAGCCACTTTTGGTAATGGTTGCTGTATTTGAGGAATTTATTTCTTTATCATGCCTTTACTGTTAATTTTTTTTCAGGCCACACTCAGAATGATTCTTCTTACTTAGTGGCTTAGTTTTTTTCAATCCCACTTTTGCTTTCAGTGCCCTAATACCTTTAAATATTTAATATACAAGAAATATTCTATCTTCTAGAATAAATGACCTGAAGGGAAGAGGAATTTCTGAAACTATCCTACTTGAATCTACAAGAAGAAAATCCAGTGTGCAACCAAGCTGTTTATCTGATTACATACCACTGAAGTGCACTCCACTGAGCCCTGCTTCTGCACAGGCCACTGTAGTGATCTGACGGTGATTTCTGGAGCTGATATGTAATTCCGAGTCATGCTCACTTTGAAAAAAAAACAAATAAAAACCCAACCCAGATCTTCACGTTGCTGGAAGAGTAGAAATGATTTCATGGTTAATAGAGTGGTTTGGTATTTAGAAAATTTACAGGAAAATACAGAATTTTTTTCTTGATTTATGCACAGATACATCTTTTCCTCTGAACTGCTCAGGGGACACTTTTTTATTGTGCCTTAGCAGGTGAAGGGCTCATGGGAGAAGCTCATTTAGGCTGACATGCTGGGGGAAGAACCATGGCAGAGCAAAATGTTCTGCAGATTGCTAAAAATGTGTGGATATTTCTGTTAATTTTTAATACACATTTGTGTGAGAACTTGTTTCTTTTCTTTTTTATACAGGTCAACTTCGTAGTGTGCCAACTGTTTGCCTTGCTTGCGGCTATTTGGTTTCGAACATACCTTCATTCAAGCAAAACTAGCCCATTTATAAGACATGTTGTTGCAACCCTCTTGGGCCTTTATCTTGCACTTTTTTGTTTTGGATGGTAAGTTGCACTTAAATTCATTTTTCAGGAACTTGTAGAATTTTGTTTCTGTGTTTCAAAGAACCTTATTATCTAATTCTGTGGTTTTTTTAGCTGCTGTAAATGTACAGAAGTTAACTCAAATTTTCTGATGAGGTGCACAAATTTTGAAAGATCTTCATTTGCAAATTGGTAACTACCATACTGTCTACCTGTGCTTTTGGGCGGATGAAGCAGGTAGCAGGTGCAGTTTGTTTAACTTGTGCTGCTTTTTCCTGTAAACTTTCTGGAGAAGTATTCTCTTAAGGCATAGCACTGGTGTGATGACTAAGATAATTTCCCATAAATACTCAGCACATGAGAAATTGCTGTGTCTTTTTCTGAATATTGAATATAATCAGACTTTTTGTAGGAAGAGTGGCCAGAACCATGGTACTGATGATACTCCTAGTAGTATAAAACACCTGGAAATGACCTGGCCTCAATTTCTGTGTGTTTTGTGCCTTTTTTTTTTTTCTTTAATGTTTTGGAGGAAAGATGTGGTTCTCTTTCAAACACAAGTTTTGTGTGTCTGCTGTTTGCATATCTTGATCTTTTCAGTATTATAAGCCAGAATGTTAGTAGAGCTAGAAAAGGGTATCAGTTTAGTTTTGTGAATATTTTTTCCTTCAAAAATAGCTTACTAAGTGGCTTGCATTTTCCCAAGATAGCTTAAGATTAATTAAGTGCCAGTTTCCTTTTATTGCATTGTAAACAAAGTGCTTACTTGGCTTTAAGTGTATAGAAGACTCATTTATGTTGGCTATTATGGAGTGTTACTGAACTATGGGGAATTAATCAAGCTGTTGTGCAGATGGGAAGATGCACATATTCTGCACATACAGAGTATTGGCCTCTATTGGCATGTTGCAGAGACCTCTTAACATTAGTTGATATGTATTACTTTTAATTTCAGGACAAGAAATCAGTAACCTTTATTATTTAGATTCACATGTGCAATTTACTTTTATATAAAATTTTACAACTCCCATCCATTTCTTAAACATTTGGCCGCAGTATTGTGCTTTGAGAGAGCAATCTGATGTCAAAGACTTCCAGTATTAGCACCAAATGAGGAGGATGATATGGGAGATAGGTGCTATCATGTGTGGTTTTTTTGAGAGGTGTATAAGCTTTATGTAACCATAGCTTTAGAAGCAGAAATCATTAATTGTAACTTGTAATTAGAAAGTGTTATCAATATATTTGTATGTGAAATTTGGGTATGGGAGATTTTGGAAAGAAACAACCTCCACCCCCAACAGACATAAATAAATTTTTGTGGAAGCCTCTCATTGGGAATATACCCTGGAAAAGAAATAAGAGATAAATTTTATGCCATAGTAGAAATCCAGATTATTCTAGTTTGGTTTGGATCATACTTAGAGCTAGTATTTTAGCAATGAATTTCTATTTTGCAATCATGACGCTAAAAGCTTTTTAAAAACCTTGAAAAGAAAGAACATAATTTGAGATGTTAAAAGTATACATTCTTTAAAAAACTGGTATCTGTGTTGTGCTGTGTGCTTTTTCCTATTATTTAAGTACATATTGTATGAGCAGGTTTTTTGAGGGTTTTGTTTTGTTTGGTTCCCCTCCCCAAGGAATCAAGTTTACATACAGGTTACAAGCCTGTGCTGTACCTTCAGTGACACTTTGATTGTGCCATAATGTGTGTTATAACACATATATAACAAAAAAGAAACTGTTACTAGAAACACTATATAAGAAAACAGTAACTGTAGATTTGCAGATAAGATCATGCAAACCTAAATGTGGGAAATAGTTTTGAATCTGCACCCTTTTAAGGATATTTATTAGTAGCTATATTGTCATCTTCAGTTTCAAGTGTGTTAGTTCTCAGTTGCCTTTGTAGTACTTGTGATGGGGGTGTAGGAGAGGAAGAGAAGGAATAATTCCCTTGACGTAATAGCAAATAGCATAAAGGAACCAGAATACCCTTTGTATATGGTTAAAATTTACTGCTACATGTGGTATTTCAATATATCCCCTTTGATGTTTGAATCAAAGATCAATCATATTGCTATTGTTAACAACTCTGAAAGAGAAATGTTTTCAGTGACTGCAATCCTAATATGACACTCCATGTCAATCCACACTTTTAGGCTTTGGTATCTTGTTCTCCTTTCTCTGTACAAGAAGGAAATTCTTAAACTTACATTTTTGTCATTTTACTAATGCCTGTCTTTGCTACACAGTATTGCTAATATGTGGCTGATAAGAAAAGAAAGTGAATACTTTTTGAATTGGCAATTGCTATACTAAATGTGTAGTTGAATTTCAGGTAGTCCTTTCTTAGATGAGGCTAGCTGCTGGTGAAGCATGGGAGCGCATGCATATTGGACCTTCCATAAAAAGTAAAGATTTTCAAGGTCAATTTGTGTCCAAGTGATTGGTTTTCCCTCAGTTCATCATGTGTACACTCTGTAGGATTTTAGTTGGATAGAACTGAGTTTCTTGTTGAAAGTCTTTGAAGTCATTTCATTGTGAGTAGAAGAGTTAAATTAGGAAATAGCTAGTGATAAGTTGAAAGAAAACAGTATCACTGTAACAAAATAATGACAGCTTTTTATGGGGAAAAAATTCCAAAATTAGATCAATGCGTCACTTGAGCACATGTGAGTGTGCTACCGAGGCAGTTATAGTACAAGAGTGAAAAAGACTCAACTTACTGAGAATCAGTTCTTTTCCCCAACCACTGGCACTGCTTTGCTACCAGTGCTCTGTAGCTTACTGAAGTATAACTCCTTGGAAAAACAAACCCCCAAAGCAATGGGGTTGTGATAGCTGTGGAAAAGAAATAAGAAGAGATTGGAGCACCTTAATGAAAAAAATCTGTGGGTTGTTACTGTGTGGGGTTTTTTTGTTTGTGTTTTTGAGACTGTCATCACTGGTATGCCTTTTATTAGTTATTGACAACCCAGGACAAAGAGACTGGCTGGACATGGTCACCATTTCTGTTGACTCGGAAATCTTACCATATGCTGATATTGTGGCTACTAAGACACTGTGGGCCTTATCTGAGCCTATTGTTGTTAATGGGTAAAAAGATGCATATGGAAATTAAACCAGAAAACTTTCATGTTATTTACACAGGAAATAATGCCAAGTGGAAGTATTATGACACACATTTTCTGTGTTTTAAGGATTATCAACATTAACTATATGCTTGTTTATGAGCTGAAGCATTCTAGCTAAGTCTGTAGTTTTTGTTCATTGCTGCTGTCTGTGCTATGCTAAAGGGAGATTAAACTTTGAACCTCTTTAATTTCACATTAAATAAATGCATGCAGTTTATTACCTTTAAAGAAAACACTGTAAGGGTGCTTGTTTTTTTTTCCCCTAGGTATGCCTTACATTTTGTTATACAAAGTGGAATTTCCTACTATATCATGATCGTAATAGGAGTGGAAAATATGCACAAGTAAGTTTCCATTCTAAAATTTTTTTTTTTTTTTGCATTTACAAGAATGCGACTGCTTAAGAGTTCCTTGGTAATGGTGCACATGTGCCATACTTCTAGTTGTATCATAACATTACAGTATTAGAATTCTACTAACCATGGCTTTATTTCCAGGGGAGAAGATGGCTTATTTGGGAGTTTTTGCCAGCTTTTTGGAATATCTAAAGCTTGTTACAGATGTTCATAACCCACTGAGACTTCTTTTGTGTTCTACGCATTCCAATTTTTTTTGTCATTACTTAAACCTAGATGTTTTCAGGTGTCTCACAAACGAGTTAACTATACAAATGTAATTTGATAACAGCCAATGATAGTAGAAGGAAGATGTCTGAAGAGAAGAGAATGTATGTGAGAAATTTTGGTACTAATTGTTTGTCTTCTTTTTTTTCTTTTTTTCTTTTTAATAACACAGTGTGAATGCTGTCTTAAGGAAAGAATATGCTTGTAAAATACATAGGGCATTATTTGAAGTTTGCTTGAACACATGGTTAGATTAACAGAATCTGAATGCATATAGAATAACTCTTTGTGCTGGTTTAAAGGTAAACCGGCAGGGGAAATGAACCCAACTCAAAAGAGAGATTATAAGCCAGAATAACAATTTAATAAAATAATACAATAAGTATGATTATGCAGACAAACAATTGGTTTTAACCCACAAAACTCGAATGTATAACCCAGGACCCTGGGGCATGAACAGAGTGGTGTTCGTTGGCCCCCCTGAGTCCAAAGTAAAAGGAGAGGGGAAAACCTGTTGGTGAGGGTGGTGGTTGCAGTCCGGTTGAGGGTGGTGGTTGCAGTCTGGTCAAGAGTGGTGGTTGCAGTCCTCCTCTGGATCCCACGAGCGGTTAAAAAAGTTCCAAGGCTCCAAGATTATATATCCTCCAGTTCAGGCAGGAATGCCCAGTACCTCCCTCAGGCCCGGGAGTTCCACAATGGGTGTGAGGACAGGGGGCACCCTCCTATCTCGCAGGCCTCTTAACACCCAGTTTATAGCCTGAGGAGTCAGGTTGCTCTGGGCAGAGGGTGTAAATAGTCTATTGATAACAGTTTCTGGGAAATGGCATGGAAGGCTATAGAATACACAGTTTTGGGTTACACCCATACAATAATGAACTGGTCCCAGCTGTTCTAACTAGGACACACTCGTTTCTCTTTTTAAATCATTCTTAAAAGCAGGGAAGACATTTATTTTATTACTGTATGCGTATGTTTTACTATTCCGCTAGCCTAGAGATCAGAACTAAATTAGGTTCCCACTGTGTTAATTCCTGCATAAATGTTTAGTAAAATAGCAAATTCTTGCTTGAATAGATTCCTGAAGTATGTGAGATAGTTAGGAAAGACTCTGGTAAAAGAAATAAAGAGGAGAATTGCTTTGCACAGAAAGCACAAAGCCAGGGTGGCCTTAGTTCATGATCCTACCTATTAGAGCACTCCGCTGCTTTATACTGTGATTCTGAATATAATTATATTGTCTTCTGAAATATCCCATATTAGGCTCTTGAGGATTTTCAAAGCCTGACATATTTGAACTACTGCAGATGTGAGAGATCCTCACTTGGTTGGACAGCCGGTTTCTATACAAATTGTTTATTTGATTAGGGGTGTTTATAAAGCAACTTGTTCAGGTCAATTTCTCTTTAGACATTCAGCAATGTGTGCTATAACTTAAATAACTTAATATTTTAAAAGACATTATTAATATGGTTAAATGCAGAATAGGGAGGTACCAGTCAGGAATACTTTGGTTTTTATCATAACAAGTTACATAGGTTTCTCATAAAAATAAATCCAGTGGTTTACATTCCTCATGGTGAGAGGCAGGTAGGCATGTGTGTATTTAACACTGCTGCGTTGGAGCAAGGGAACTCTAATTCCTGATGCTCCTAATTCACACCAGTTGATTTAACTGCATGGCCTGATCTGCTGAAATGTTTACTGTGTTATACACAACTGTTACTCTGCAGCTGGGAGGGAAAACCTAGATTTGTCTACCTGGCTTATGTTGCTGTATCACCTTATGAATTAATGCACCGTTGTATAAAACTAAAAAACGCTTCTTTCAGTGGAGGAAAAAAAATGTAACAAAGTCATTTGTTACTTCAAGTTGTGGACAGTGTTTGCACACTGTATGGGAAGCTCCAGGAGCCATTTCTAATAGGTGATACAGGCAAAACTACAAGGTTTGCTCCTTCCATTGCCAGAGTATCCCAGAAGGGATAATGCCTGTACCTTTTACTAAAGGAAAGCACCACATACTCTTAATTTTCTGTTATGAAAATGCCCTTACAGCTTTCTGTTTGGCAGTCTGAACAGAAACTGATGTGAATAACTCCTGTCCCCACCTGAGTGTTTGTCTTCAGGCTACAAGTGTGTCTCATGGAGCCCGGGGAGGTGGAAGGTTAAGTGCTGTATAGTAGAGTGCAGCTGCTGCCACCTGGCCTCAGGAGAGGACCCTGTCAATGTGTTAATGGGAGATGTGTGTATACATACAGCTAATTGTAGCACATGGATATACCTGCATAACCCAAGGTTTCTGTACTGTAGAGGGGCCCTTTGGCTGGCAGTCATAGTTAGAGGTTACCTGTCTTGTTCATGAGCAACTTAACCTTAGAGTCTATAGAACATCAAATACCTATATGTGGTGTAAATATGAATTCAGGTGACTTTTGTACTGGAAGAGCACTTGTGTATTGTACAAAATATTATTGCCAATTATCTAAATTCAATCACTGTTATTCTGCAGCTGGGAGGGGAAGACCTAGATTTGACTACCTGAGGGAAAGAAGTTTCCCTCTTCTTTTCCCTGCCCTGCTTGCTGTCCTGCAGATTTCACGAGGGTATGAATGGGAAAGGCACTATTCCTCTCCTTCCTGCTTTCCCTACCCTCTAATATAGCTCCTCAGTCTCTTCAGCCTCTCTAAAAATTGCTTAAACAAATAAGAGACAACTAAATTTCTTAGACTGCTATCAGTTCAGTTGCTGTGTGCTGGCTTTCCTTACCCTTCAGAGCAAGGAGATTTTTTTGTAAGCTTCCACGTTCTCCGAAGCACTTTCATGTTTAATACTGTTACTCCTCTAAACCTTTGTTTCTTTCTTAATGTACTGCCACTGGATTCTAAAAATGTCTCTACTATGAAGTTCATACCTTTGTGGTTTTCCTGAGGGAACCGGCTCTTGTGCAACTCTTGCATCTAGGTTGGTCTTGACATACATGGTGTGTTGAAGATGAAAGCCTTAATTGAACAACAGTATAGGGAGGGGAAAAACAAAAGGTAAAACCTGAGGTGTGGGATATGAAGAACATATTAAAAAGGAAGGAAGCTTTATATTTTAAATTTTAACAATTTTTAGAATTAAGTTAATTAGCAAAAAGTGAGTTATCTGAGACTTGGATGTAACTAAAATTGATCCATTATTTTTATACTTAAGTCTTATTTAAATCATAGTACTTTGAATGAAAGGTGGAGTTATCACACTAGTTTGCCTGAATGGTTCAAAAGCTTTTGTCTTTTAATTTGGGACTAAGCTATCTTAATATTTGTTTGGTGCTCTCATGGCTCACTTAATTGTGAAACTGAAAAATATATTTAAAAAAAGTTCTCAGTTCCAATGAATTTGCACTTGGTAATCAATGTAGTACTAATATTTATCTTTTTCTTAGAAATTCTTCTGTTTCTTCTATGATTATGAAATTGCTGTTTGTCTTAAAAGACAAAACCACAAATACCACAAGGTTCTTTTTCCTTAAACCTTTGGCTGCTGTTAGCTAAGACCTATGGGAGCAGTGCTTGTGCAGGTGATCTGATGACAAGGTTTTAAGGTTTCTAGGTAACTCTTTCTCTTCTGACTTTATTGTTCATTTTATGGTTAGTAAATAATGTTCCTCAGCCTGTGGGCAGAGGGGGGTTAATTATAGGGCTCAGAGGTTCTTCACTGAAGTCTGTAGTTTTCTCAGTGACTTCACTGACAAAATATGGAAGTCCTAGCTGTGTTAGTGTAGAAAATAGATTTGGTTTTTAAAAATTATTACTGTTACAATGTTTATTTAAATTTCTTAAATATGCTAATGTAAAATCAATTGATATACTTGCTATTCCTATCTGATACCTTCTGTGTTATGCTTAAAGTTGCAGGATGATACTTGTTCCAGAAGTCTAGAGTTGAACTGCTAAGACTTAAGTGATTTATTTTTTTTTAATGCCAGAAATAACCTCCTTAACTGTTTTGTGGCATATACAAGTTGTGAAAAGTAAATTAATGAAGAACCCGGAAACCCAAGATAATGAATAGCAGTAAATACATAATGAGCTGACATGTGTGTGCCACAAAGGGCCACAAAGATTATGAGAGTGGAGCATCTCTCCTGTGAGGAAAGACTGATAGAACTGAGACTGTTCAGCCTGGGGAAAAGGGGGGGATCTTAGCAACATATTTGAATACCTGGAGAGAGGAAGCCACACTCTCAGTGGTGCCTGGACCAGAGGCAACAGGCACAAACTGAAACACAACGCTGTCTGAACATCAGGAAACACTTGTTTACTGAGAGAGGTTGTAGTCTCCCTGCTTAGAGACATTCAAAAGCTGCCTGGGCGTAGTCCTGGGTAGCTGGCACTGGGTGGCCCTGCTTGGGCAGAGAGGTTGGACCTGATGACCTCCAAAGGTCCCTGCCAGCCTCAGCTGTTCTGTGGTTCTATTTTGGTTTGATAGATGTACAATTCTTTGTACTGTACCTATGCCCATGTATGTGAGCTGTTTGAATATGGTAATGTAAATAGATATTTGAATAAGCAAACCAAACTTTTGTTTTAACTGATCTGGTCTCTGTGGAGATACTTTCCTTGGGATTTGGCAGTGTTAGTCCTCAGTAAGTTCTCTTAGCCTCCTAGCCAGAGCCAGGACTGAACAATGCCTTGATTTGGCAAAGGAGGTGTGGAAGAGATTTGATGATTTTTGGT